TTTTTTCTGAATTTAAAAACAAAGTTCGACAACATTCACCATTATCAGAAAGTAACATTAAAATAGCAATGATCAATTCATATTATGCAATATCCAAACAACATATTAATAATTATTATCATCATTGTGGGTTCATGCGTGGAGTCAATGTCTATCATGATTGCCCTAAACCAAGCCAACATCAACATTTAGCATAAAAATATCATAGATCACATTCATGTGCAAAATTTTTTTAAATAAAAAGATAGCTCCCTTTCATCGTATTTATGCATTGCATATCTAGGTGTTGTACTACCCCTCAGCTATATACGCATATAATTATATTGAAGTAATGTTGTTTATTTTTCATACAGTAAGCAAAACACAAAAGTTTGGCGAGACTTTTTTTTTTCGCTACCGTATGTGAAAGCAGAAGGTGCTTGAGATCTTGCACTAAGTTGCGTCTTCCCTGATCCTCTTGATCAGCCTTATGGTTCTGCTCCCTTTGGTTATCTACCTTCTTTTCGCTATACTGCGAAGGAATATACTTTAAATCCGGTGAACCGCGTTTAGCAGCAGCATCTACGAAATGCTTCCAAACGCGTTCAGCTGCGTTAAATGTATCGGATTACGATGCGAAATGTGTTAGTTAGTTAGTAAATGCACCTAAACGCATTTGTTTCTATTGCGTTCAAATGCGTTTCGGAGACATTAACGCGTCCAAACGCGCTTAACTTGAATGCGTTCGAACGTGTTAGTCATTTGAACGCAGCAAAATGAGTTTATTTTCACAGCGGTTTAGCGCGTCAGTTTCTGATGCAGCCAAACGCGTTTCAAACTAACGTATTTAAGCGCATTTATCACCGATTAACGCGTCTAAACGCGCTTCAGTTGTAAGAAAACGAGTTCAGACACGTTTTTAGTGCAAAAAAACGCGTTTAGCAGTGCGTTTGGTCTAAAAAAATGTCTGCCTGGGCGATTTCGTTAAATGAGATGACTCGAAGAGAGTTTTGAATGACACATGTCTCCAATACTTTTTAGTTAAAAGAAAGAGAATTTGGACAAAAACCGAAAGAACAACGAATGCAGAAAAAGTTTAAAGAAAGTCAACTTCAAAGGAAACAACGAATTCAAGATCATAAGCGAAGATCGGATAGAAAAGAACGAGAACATCCTCACGACATTGCTCAGATGAAAGAGAATGGACAAGAAGAGGAGAAAAAATTAAATTCGACTAATCGTGAATGGTTATTATGGTATGATTCTGGGTAGACAATAAATTTGGTTATGCAGACTAGTCTTCGAGACTGATTTTATGAATAAATCATTTTTCTAAACAAAAAATCAAATACAATGAGTATTCATTTGTCATATCGGCGATTTTTCTTAGAGGAAAACGTTTGATACGCAGTCATTATAATTTTTTTCTATTCAGTCTCATCGTGTCGTTTTAAATTTACATTATATTATATTGCATTTTAGTTATCAGTAACCAGCCTAGAGAACAAGCATGGCAGTATAATTTTGCCGTGGTGTACTCTCTAAAACATTTTCGTATCATACGGAACTAAGAACGGGTATTTCCATGTCGAGATATCCTTTTTGGAATCGCTGAGTAACAAACGCAGATACCCTCTTTTTTTGGGTTCTGTGGAATTAGAAATATGCTCAAGTAAATCTTACAAAACGAAAAAGATACACTGAAATACTAAAATGGCATTGTTAAATACGGTTAAGGGTATTTCTAATTCAACAGAACTAGCAAAAAGAGAGTATCGGCATTTTTTAGTCAGAGACACCAAAAAGTGTATCCGGACATGGAAATACCCTTTTTTGGTTCTGTATCATACGAAAAATTTTTAGAAAATATGAGAAAGTTAGATGCTCCTTAAACTCACATTATGTGAGTTTAATGTGATGTTTTAATACACAGAAGAATACGGCCGCATCGAAATGTGCTTCTATAACGTCTGTTTTGTTGGATCATACCTGTTTAACCAGAAACTATATTTTGACAAGATGTATGTACAAACGTTATTGTGCTTCAAATGCTTCTCATATGCAGCTGCGTCGACAGGAAAAACAGTCTCTAGCTGAATAATTCAATTGTATCTTACTGAATATAAACTATTTTAGTTGCATGTATTTTGAAATCCTTTTTATCAATTGGTTACGATGACTGCGATGTACTTTGATCAATTGATTACGATGACTGCGATGTACTTTGATCAATTGATTACGATGACTGCGATGTACTTTGATCAATTGATTACGATGNGCTTCTCATATGCAGCTGCGTCGACAGGAAAAACAGTCTCTAGCTGAATAATTCAATTGTATCTTACTGAATATAAACTATTTTAGTTGCATGTATTTTGAAATCCTTTTTATCAATTGGTTACGATGACTGCGATGTACTTTGATCAATTGATTACGATGACTGCGATGTACTTTGATCAATTGATTACGATGGCTGCAATGTACTTTGATCAATTGATTACGATGGCTGCAATGTACTTTGAAATCCTTTTTATTAATTGATTACGGTGACTGCGATGTACTTTGAAAGATGATGCTTAAAGATATTGATCGACAAGTACTATTTGATTTGTATAATGGCTTGTTTATAATGAGATTGCTCAAACAACTCAAACAGCTCACTTTAAAACATCTGTGTGATAATGAAAAAAGCACAAACAAACAAGTACAACTAGTTCGAATAGAACCTGTACTTATCCTTCAATTAGTCTATTCTAGCCTTGCAAAAATGTACTGTGTCCAACGTGTCCTGTTTTTTTATTGCTAGATTAACTACTAGTCGAAATTATGTTTTTTATTTGTAAAAAAATAGATTTTCGTTTTAATGATTCAACTGTTTTTTTTCTGTGTCGATGTTGTTCTTTGTTGTTTATAGGAGAATTATTCAACATTCTCTCAACATGTTACATAAACATCTTTTTTTTCTTTTCGTCTTTGTTACCATATTTTTTATATGTATTAATAATAATCCTATCGAAAATCGAAGGAAAAAGATTTTATATTGCACATTAAAATTAAGATTGTTATTCGATTACACTGTTGAAACTATATATATTTCACCAACATTATCCTACTGAATTATTTCCGTTTGCTAAGTTTTCTCACCAACTACATCATAACACTTATTTTCCATCCGCCAAACAGCAGTTAAACAGCATCATGAATAGTAAAGTATTAGCAACAATTCTGTTAGTCTGTTTCGTCGCCATCTGTCATCTTCAATCAACGAATGGTGCTGGTGAGTTTTCCTAATGTTTTCACACCATATACTTTTTTGAAAAGTGAAACCATCAGGTTGATATAAGCTTTATTCTTTCAGAATACGAACGGAAAATATTTTATTATAGTATTCTAAACTAAAACTATCGAAAAACAAAAAATTAATTTTGTACGAATAGAGATTCGAACACATGAATTTAGCTTGACCGTGAACCGCAAAATTAAATCCGCTAAACTCAGGTTAATCTTACTGTTATTCAGTAAGTATTCCTTCTAAGTACTGATGATAATCCGTGTTTAATAAATGCGTGTGGTTAGTATTCAATTTTAAGAGTAGTACGTATAGTAATCTTTTGTACAACTCCAAATAGTTTACAAAGGACGGAGGAGTGTAAGTTATATATTCAGAGCCCTAGCATTTTTGCTGTTTTTAACCCCATGTAGTTATGGTCTTAATTAAATAAATAATGGTAGTGGTTATGATCGTAAGTTAGCCCAGTTATAACCTTGACGCGCTTATGTATAATCTTAAAATCGTTCTCGGTATGTATTAATGATCTTCAAATCAATCAGGGCCTTATTTACGATCTTACAGCCTCTGGCTATGATCTTAAAAATATCTAGTGTCTCTCGTTGCGGTCTTGAAAATGTACACATTTACAGTTACGATCTTTAAACTGCTGCGGGGGCCTATAATTATAATCTTTTTGCTCTGAAATCACACCCATATCGTCGATTTTTATTGAAAACCAACGATTAGGAATGGTTATCGGAATAACCACTGATCCAGCAGACGACCGACGTTTATTTCAATAACCGTCGTTTACCGATTAATCGTTTTATTTTTTGTAGGAGCCCATTCACTATTTTTTAATTACCGATTACAAAAACGAACTCAAGAAGTAACAGTCGGGAGGAGTTTTACATTTTAGCCTTAGGGTTACTCTGCCATGATTTTTTTTCCTATACTCTCATGATGAGTGAAGTATATTTAGAGAAGTGTGTCTTTTTCTCAAAAAGGTTTAGATTTTATTTGTTTCGTCACAGAAACATTCTGTTATGGTAGCTTTACTATTAGAAAACCGATGGTGGCTACACTCTAACAATTTATTCCGTTTATGCTCTGTTATTGTACCTCTATCATTTATTTTCATGTCTCATTTTAAGACAGTTATTTCTGCCACCAGTTCATCGGTACTTCTGTAATTGACGGGAAAACCAGTCACCTCTTTCGTTTAACTCCTATTTTCAAATGATTAATTCCTTTTAGAATGTAACACTGGGCTAATCATTTTATTAAACTACAGTGCACGGCTGAGAAGTATCTAATAAAGATCTGTGTAATCTTGTGAGTCAAGTTTATTTATGTTTTTCTTTTGGATCACTGCCTGCAAACTTAATAAAAAACTTCATAAGATGCCTATAGTGTAAACATTAAAAAGGCTTTTTGTCGATTAATATGAAAAACATTATGAAATGTTGATTGTGGCTTTCCACCTTTTCCCGATGTGCATGAGAACTACTGACCTAATTTAATTGTTATTCTTTGTTTTCAGCTATAAGAGAACGTCGTGATGCCGACAGTAGTTCATCCGACGACACTAGTTCATCCTCCAGCGGAGATGGTTATGGACCATCCAAACGTGATGCCGGTAGTAGTTCATCCGACGACACTAGTTCATCCTCCAGCGGAGATGGTTATGGACCATCCAAACGTGATGCCGGTAGCAGTTCATCCGACGACACTAGTTCATCCTCCAGCGGAGATGGTTATGGACCATCCAAACGTGATGCTGGTAGTAGTTCATCCGACGACACTAGTTCATCCTCCAGCGGAGATGGTTATGGACCATCCAAACGTGATGCCGGTAGTAGTTCATCCGACGACACTAGTTCATCCTCCAGCGGAGATGGTTATGGAC